AGAATTAAGTCAACAATTAGCCTAATATGTTACGAGAACAAGTAATGGAATTGTGAACTACTCTGAAACCAAAGCTCGTGCAAACTATTCAGGAACTCCACCAAATCCAAGCCCAAGGTTTTAGTCAAATCTATGCTTCTAATGCGGCTTTACAAAAGATTCCCGTTGCCCAAAAGGAGTGATTGCAAGCCCAACCCCCAATAACTGCTTATCAGCAAGCCAGATGATTAGAGATTAGGTCCCAAGAAGTGACTGAGTTAACCAAGAAATTAGAACAAATCAAAACTCTTATTACTGATAATGAGATGGAGAAGTTGCAGAATTTAGCGAAAAAAGGAGAAATCTAATTATGTCCGATAAACAATGTCAAGAATTATTAACCAAATTAAACCCAATAAATTATGACAAAATATGATGCTAAAACATTAGAAAGAGAATTAAAAATTAAAGAAATTTAAGAAATAAAAACCTATGGGAAGAAAAAAACCAAATAAGCATAATATTGTCCAGCCAAAAAAAACAGGCGGCGGTAGTGGAAGTGGAGCTAGCGGTTTAGGTTCGCTAACTAATTTCACTAATGCCCAAGACATAAAAAGTAGATTTTGAGTTAATGCTGCAGCTCGTCGGCAAGCAGGTGATAAGTCTAGTGGTGATGCTACTTATTGAACCGAAGGAAGATGTAATTGAGGAGGCAATCACAATTTAATGGAAGATTGTCAAACTTTGGCACAATGAGCCAATAATGTGGTTAGCACCGAAAGTGATGCCCAAGAATTAACCCTAGCAATTAATGAACAAGAATTTAAACAAAAAAAGCAAGCCTTAGTTAATAAACTCCAAGACTGTATCAATAAGTGTCAAATATCAAGTGCTTGGTCAATAGGGAATGTTTGTTGTATTTGAAATGATTATTTTGGTAGTTTTGTCGGTCCGTTTACCGACCAATTAAAACAAAAACTACAGGATGAACTTAATAAATTACGAACAATTGATCCTATCCATCAAAGGGACATCATCGAGATAGAAGCAGAAATTAGAAAAGCAGAAGCTGAACGTAATGATGCTATGACTAAAGCTGCTAACGAAACTGATCCGGCCAAAAAAGCTCAATTTATTGCCACTGCTCAAGCAGCTGAACGAACAATTAAACAAGCTAAAGCCAGACTTGCCAAAAATCCTCTATCTAAATTAGCCCAATATAGTTATATAAATGACATGGGAAGACTTTTTGGCGGTAATCTTCCATCTAAACCCCCAACTGTGCCTAAAAATAATCCTGATTCAAATCCAACTGATCCAGGGGGAAATCCTAGCGGAGGAAATAATCCGGATGGAAGTGGCAGACAAAACCCTTGAACTCCCTGAGGAGGTAGTTCTAATTCTAACAATCAGCAAACCAATAGCCAACAACAACTAATTATTTTTGCTGGCCTTGCTCTACTAGTAATTTTTTATCTTTATTCCCAAAAAGAGGAAACTTATGACTAACGACCTAAAAAACAAACTCGGTGCAACTACTGAACAACTAGAAACAGTAATTGCCCCCCATTACACTAATTTAGAACCTTGGCAAAGAGGATTATTAATAATTGCTCTCATTCTTTTCCTACTTTTCTCTATTTACCATCTCACTAAACCGGATAAACCATTAAACGTTAAACGAGAAGAACAAAGAGAAAAAGAGATTGAAGAAAGATTATTAAGGCAAATGGCTTTTTTTAAAAGATTAAAAGAATAATCATGTATAACACCGAACAATATTTTGATTTTGATTCACCCAAGAAAGCAGAGACAAAAATTAGTAAAAAGAAGAAGCAACAAGCTTTATTATCTTTTTTACTGTTAGCCGGAGCAGCCTATTATTACTTTATGATTTATTTACCGGAAGAAGAAACTAAACAATTAGAAGTTAAATTGCAAGCTGAGATTGACCGAGTGAAGAATGCTAAACCGGATGATGTTGCTGAAATGCTAACCGATTTACAAACTTATCAACAATGAGCCAATAGTAATGAATTTCAAAAAAGAGCTTTTGCCAATAAACAGGCTGAATTTAATGAGGCTATCAAATGATTACAAGAACACCAAAAAACTCCAGAACAATTAGAAAAAGAATTAGAAGACCACATGTTTTTAAAGGGAGCCATTTGAAAACTACCTGCCAAAAGTTGAGCTGATAACGAAATAAGAAAAATCTCTAACGTTCTAGTTGGTCGTTATAATGAAGATGCCAAATTATTTCCCGATGGAGACAAACATGAAGATTTTCACTTTTCTCGAGCAGCTAGTTATGATATTCATTTTCCTCCTTCGATGGAAGAGTTTTTTAAATTAGGAAAAGAAAAAAACAAAAAAAACTGTTATCTGTTGGACAAAAACGAAGATTTAATCTGATCCAGCGAAATTGAAAATTGATATAACCAGGTAATGCGAGAAAATCCACCTTGAAGAGGTAATCCTAACCCAGCTACTAAGAAAGATAATAATGCCATTTTCTTTGGAGCACCCGGCACCGGCAAATCAGCTACTGTGAAAAAGATTTGTATTGAGGCTGATGAGTGTCCTTTAGTGATAGTCAAAGGTTCTTCCTTAACTCCTACCAAGCAAGATTATGATGCTGGTATTGCTCCTTTACAGAAATTCGTCTATACCATTAGTGAATTAGAGTGAAACTTGATTAAAGTCTATGGAATGGAAAGGGAAACTAACGGTGAAGTTCGTTATATTCTTTTTGTGGATGAATGTGACCAAATTAGCAATAATTCACTAATTCACGACCCCAATAAACTAAGATTTTTGAAAGAACTTTTAGAGGGCAGTGAGTCAAGTCGAAAAGAGGAAACCCAAAATCTCTGAATATTTGCTACTAATCATTTAAAAGATGTCGAAAATGCAACCTATCGGGAAGGAAGATTAAGTAATCCCTTAGATTTTAGTTGAACTTGGGATGAATTCAAAAAATATTTTGATGACGCTAAAAGAAATCCAACCAAATATAAACTACCAAGTGGCTTCAATATTCCCTCACTTCCTAATCGTTGACAAGACACGGCTGGCTTAAATGAGGAAGATAACAAATGAGTGAATAAATTCAACAAATTTTCTTTCATATCTGACTTTCTAGGACATGATCCAGAAAAGCCTAGTCGAGCAAAATTTTGAGAACTATTTATTACTAATAACCCTGATGCCATGCTAAAGGAAGAAATCGAAACAAAAGACGAAAGCGGGAATTCGACATTTGAAACAGAAGAAACCGAAATTGAAGTAGGAGAATTCTTACAATTCTTTTGGCAAAAAAAAGAAAGTGGGCAATTAGCTAGTTACGATGGAGATTTTGAATCACCTCGCATACCTAAAGAAGCTGAAGTGCTGGATGATAATTTACCTAACTTAGCTGAAATGGCTAATGTGCTAGCTAAATCTTCTAATGCTTTAATTACTTCTTTAGAAAATTTAAATCAAAGAATGCAGGAACTAAAACAACAGGTTCAAATATCCATGACTGGTCAAAACAGTGGTGTTCAAGCAGAAATTATACAATTACGTAGCCAGTTAGCTGATTTAGCCCAGGAAGTTCACCGAAGAAGTTAAAAAAATATGAACAACCAACAACTAATAAAACAAATAGAAAGTAAAATAAAAGAAATCCAAGAAAAACTTGAATTTTGAAAACAACAAACAAGCACTTATGAAAGCACTTTATTAACACTAACCCGACAATTACAAGACATTAAAAACCAACTAAAAAGAAAGAAATAACATGAAAAAAAACATTAACAAAATCAGCCTATCAGGCTTAATAAATAAGAAATAAAACTATGTCACTTTGAAACTGAATTAAAGAAAATACAACTACCATTGTTGCTACTGTCGCAGTAGGTATTGCTACTGGTGGCACTTCACTAGTTATCCAAGCTGCTGCGATTGGTGGTGCCTATTTAGTAGGTTCGGCTCTGGATGCTGATCGGAAGAAGCAAGAGAATGAAAATAAGCAACTAAATCTAAAAGGTGAAATATCTAAGCAGATAAGGGATGAAATTAATAATCTCCAAGATGAAAGAAATCAAAAAGCTAGCCAACTAAACACTCTGGAACAGCATTTAGCTCAAAAGCAAAATAAACTAAACGACCCTAATACTCCGGAATATGAAAAAGCCCAAATTAGAAGTGAAATAACCAGTTTTGTAGCACAAATAGACAAGTTAAAAAAAGAGATAAATGGTTATGATGATAAGATAAACGGTCTAATCAAGCAATCAGGGAAAACAATTACTGGCGGAACAGGTTTAGCTAATATTGAACTTGATTATAATACTAAACTGATGATTGGTGCCATTATTTTTTTAGTAATTTATTTTGCTTTTATTAAAGAAAAAGAAAATAAATAGACTGCACAGCAACTGGTTTTTGTATAAAATTATAATATAGTAAAAATAATTTCTTGTTATCATGGACACAGGACAATGAACTTCAATGGTTCAAACTCACGTTAACGAAATCAAAACTGATTTAAAACATTTAGAAAATGTTCCTCTAAATCAGTTATATACAGAAGTAGGATGACGATATTCTGGACATTCTAATAAATTGGGTAATGTGAGAAGTTATTACGACATCTACAAACTACAAGAGAAAGGAGCATCACAACTTCTTTTATATGAATATGGAGAACTATTCAAAAAATTAGAAGTAATAAATGACAAAGCCACGGCGGAGAACAATAAAAATAATAGCAGTAACAATATCAACACAGCAAAAAATTGCTCTGAATGCAAAAACTCAATAACCGGTCAGTGTCTACAAGACGATGGAAAAAAGTTTTGCTCTCAATATTGTTTTGATAACTACTATGTGTGCGATAAATGTCAGCAAAAAATCACTGGTAAATATTATAGTAGTGGTAGTAATCAAAACACAAACAAAAAAGGTCTAACTTGTGAAGTTTGCTATC